CCCCCCGCGCCCCACCCCGAGGTGTCCAGACCCCCCGTGCACCCCGACCCCCCTGCGCCCCATCCTGGGGCATCCAGACCCACCCCGTGCACCCCGACCGCGGGGCATCCAGACCCCCCCCCGTGCACCACGACCCCGGGGCATCCAGACCCCTCCGTGCGCGCCAATGCCCCTGTGCACCCCGACCCCAGGGCGTCCCAGCTCCCCTGTGTGCCCCAACTTCGGTTGCATCCAGGGCCCCAGGGCAGCCAGACCTTCCCGAGCACCCCAGCCCCAGACGAGTCCAGATCCTCTGTGCACCCTGACCCCCTCGTGCACCCCAGTCCTCCCAAATGCACCCCAATCCCTGTTGCATCCAGATCCCTGGTTGCATCCAGACCCCTCTGTGCACCCCAACCTGTTACATCCAGAGCCCTGGTGCAGCCGAACTTTCCTCTGCACGCCCACCCCACTTGCATCCAGATCCTCGCTGTATCCCGATCCTCCCTTGGGCCCCAAACCTGGTTCCACCTGGACCCTGGTGGGACCCAACCCCGGCTGCACCCAGTCCCTGGCACAGCCGCCCTGCTGTGCCCCAGCCCCCCCGGGTGACTCACAGATGTAGTAGTAGGTCTCCCCTGGCTGGAACTCGAAGCCGAGCGAGAAGGGGGTGAAGCGCTGGATCTTCTCTGAAAAGCGGACGGGCCCGAAGGGCGCCTGGGGCCGGTTGCACTCCCAGCGCTTGAAGGCGCCAGGGGTCTCGTAGCATCCGCGGTAGCCCTCCCGGTCCACCATGAAGAGCGTGAAGGTCTCTGCCCGGCCGGCGGGCACGGTCCCCTCGTAGTGTGGGCAGTAGATGTCCAGGTAGTCATTGATGGCCACCTGGATGGCGTAGTCGTCCCGCAGGAACCTGCAGGGCAGGGCATGCCGGGGAGCAGGCGCCGGGGGTCCGGCTGTCCCCTGAGAGGGACACCCCACTAACCCCCGCCCCAGCAGAGCAGGTAGCCAGGCTTTTGCCAAAACAGCTACCGGGCACCCGTCTGCTCCACACAACCAGGCATCAGCTCAGATTAGCCGCAAGCCACTGGAGCTGAATGGGCTCAGCCACTGCAGTTGGGGGGACCCCAGCCGCACCAGCCAGGGCACAAAGCCCGTCGCTCCAGGCACTCGCCTCACCGCCCTCGGTGCTGATCGGCATTGACACGCCGGCGGGGGGCTGCCCCGCTTGACACCTCCTGCACTGACACGGTGCTTGCAGCGGGGCAGTGGGCCGGGGCAGGGGGCACGGGGGACTCTGCCAGCTGGGCAGGCATGGGAGGGGGCCCAACACGGGTACCTGCACAGGCAGGCAGGCACAGATGCAGTGGCTGGGATGGCACGAGCTCATGCCTGTGCAAACAGCACGTGCAGCCAGACCAGGGTGGAGCAGACACCTCTGCAGGCACACACATGCGTGCACACACATGCACACACGTGTGCATGCACACACACACACATATGCACACACTTGGTCCTGCCCGCCCGGGACAGGCAATGGAACAGGAGCCCCTCTCCCTCTTCCCAGCCCCAGCAGGGCAGCAACCTCCACCCTGCGCCCACGTCTCCTAACCGGCCGGATCCTGCCACAGCCTGGGCACAGCCCAGCCCAGCAGGGCCTTGGCCTCACTGGCAGCACCGTGGCACGGATGGGGCTGCCGAGCTGCTGCCCAGCTGGCAAGGTCGCCCCAACCTGGCACAGAGAGCCCTGGGGGTCGGCTCCAGCCCCCTCCTCCCACCCCGGTGCAGGCACAGGCAGTGTTTACACCAGATGCAGATTCCTGGCAGCTGTGGCAGAGGCCGGCACATTAATCACCGGGCCGGCAGCACTGTCGAGCTGGGGAGGCTCGGGCCCCAGGAGCCCCCCCCCAGGCCGGGGGCTCTTCAAGGACAGGACCGGGCACAGGCTTCCCGCTGACTCAGAGCATCCTACCAGGTGACGCTGGCCAGGACGAGCCCAGGCAGGGCCGAGGGCTGCCAGGGGCCAGGGACCTGCCCAGACCCTGCGGAGGGGCACACAACCCCCCCACCTTCCCAGGGCACCCACGGGTGGTGGGTTTCCACACCTCCCATCTGCAGGTCTCCACTACCAAGGGGTGCAAGGCAGCATTGGTGCCCCCAGCCCTGCCTGGCACGTGCCTGCCTGCCCCAGGCCAGTGGGCTCAGGGCACAAGACCCCCTGTGGGGGAGCGCAGCCCCCAGCACAGCACCCTGACCCGGCCTCCGCGCGCCCCCCAGGCCCTGAGCAGCGCCGAGCTGGGAAAGGCCTAAAATGGAGGAGGCTGGGAGGAGGAATGGGGACGGACCCCGGCCCACCGATGACAGCAGAGCCTGCGGGCAGCACCCCTAGCTGGGGCACAGGCTGGGCTGTGCCCGATGGCACCCACCAGTGGGGACATCTGCCATGGGGACCTGCAGCCCTGGCAGTGCCACCCGCTGGCTTGATGCCACCCAGAGTGACCCCAGGCTTGGTACCCACTGGCCACAAGTGCCCCATGGCCAGAAAGCGTGCTGGGGCTCGGTGCCGCTGGGGGATGCCCAAAGCTCAGTACCACCAAGGATGCCCAGGCTCAATACAGGTTGGTACCACCGGGGACTTGGCACCACCAGGAGTGCCCACTGGTGTGGTAACACCTGGGGCTTGGTGCCACCAGGGCTGCCCACCGGTGGGGTAACACCCAAGAGCTCAGCATCACCTGGGGGTACCTGCCTGCTCGACACCACCCAAGGCTTGGTGCCACCAGCAGTGCCCAGTGGCTCGGTACTGCCCAGGGCTCAGCACCACCGGGGGCACTTGCCAGCTCGGTAACACCCAGGGGTGCCCCATACAGCCCAGTGGCTCGGTACCACTGGGGATACTCACCGGCTCAGTACCACCCAGTGGCAGCCAGGGCTCGGTGCCACCGGGGGTGCCCGGTGGCTCGGTACTGCCCGGGGCTCAGTACCACCGGGGTACTCACCTGCTCGCTACCACCCGGGGCTCGGTGGCGCCCGGTACCACCGGGGGACTCACCTGCTCGCTACCACCCGGGGCTCGGTGGCGC